AAAATTTTGGACTGCAAGCAATATCTCATTTCATACCACAAAGCTGTGGCATGAATATTAAGAATCTCCAGTTCACATTTGGAACACGAGTTACTCAGATCACATCGATTGTATGATTATTGCCACTTTTTCGCCTGTAGTGTAAAGTGACCTCCTTTTACTCATCTTTTCATTTTCATATTAGAGAATTAACATATACATCTATGACTTCGAGGAGCTTAACTTTTGATATATACTGTCTAGTACATCTTAGTTTGGTTTCTCGAACAGATACGCACGTATTTGTCACATAGGAAAAGACGTTATATACGTAATTCCCTTAGCAGTCGGAAGTTGTCAGCAGGGGTGAATTATGCATAATGCTGTCTGCCATACAGATGTTATGGTTATGCTCTTTCAAAAAGCCCTGGAACACAGTAAAGCACTGTAAAGAACAGTTGAGTTGAATTGTAGGTTAATACTTGTCTATAGTAAGGCGTAATGCTTCATGTTCTATTAACGGCATTCCATTTGACGAAGCGGGTTTGAGTGACACTCAAGTTTGTAGGTGTCCGAAAATATCAGACAGACAATATACTAATAATTCTTTTCAAGATGTGTTGTCATTTTGTTTTATTACTATTTACACTGAAAATATCGAGCAATCAAACTGTTTTCATTTGAAAAGCTTTGTAATACATAATTAGTACATGGTCATTTTAGGGCTTACGTATAATAGTTTCGTCTTAGTAGTCTGTCACCCAAGGAATAAGTGATTGTTCTCCCTTTGTTCATTGGGTTTGTGAAGGGCATTGGTATTTGTTTATGTGAATGAAACTATTATTTTGACACCGTCAAAATTGGTCTTGTATCCACTTTCTATTGCATGTATGGTATAACTAATCGCTTTTCTAAAGTTTGAATTGCACTTTGTTCTTAGGAGCATATTTAATGAGTAGCTTATTTTTACTGTCATTTTTACTTACAACTTTCCATATATAATAAGCCTTGTAATCTATTGGAAAAACCTTATTCAATTTACAAATATTGGTTTGTAGGGATTTGATTCATTGGATACAGGATTTCATCATGAGCTGACATCGGTTACAGAACCGATGGTAAATCTGGGAGTACTGGACAGTCGTTTCGTCCTGGTTCGGGACTCTTCATCAATACACACCCACTGGGGTTCGTATACAGGGCCGTATGGTTACAAGCTAAGCTTGTAGACCGCCGGGTTTGAACCCCGGTAGGCGTGTGCTGATGAAGAGTCCCGAACCAGGACGAAACGGCTGTCCAGTACTCCCGGGTTTGCCATCGGTTCTCTAACCGATATCAGCTCATGATGAAATCCTGTAAAAGATTTAGTTTCTAAGCTGATGCAAAGTAATTGATTTTATCCAAAAATTGGATAAGATGTAAAGATTTTTATGCATGAGAAATCCGCAAACAACAGAAAATTAGTATGTATGAACATGCGTCCACACAACAATAGAAGAAATGAAATATGAGTGTTCAGAAACCGATTAGCTACAACAATACATGTAGTAGTAAATGGTCATAAAGTTGACTTTGATTAAGTAATGCACCCGTGTAAGAGCTTGTAAAGAGTCGTCATCTGAAGTAACGACTGTTAGTGAATTTATCATACGTGGTCAGGGTTATCTTCCTCGTTCAGGTTTATTATAAATGTACTGACAGAAGTGACTGTTTGACTTCGACATCCCAGTAGGGGTTTTAGAGTATACGAACAATAGTGTTTTAGATGAAATCAGTGACAGCTTGTCTATTTGAGGACGTTGAATTCTTATTTCGGTGAAAAAGCCACTAATTCTGTTATTTTCATTTCTGATGCTGTGGTGAATGCCTTATATTCTCATATACTCATTCACTTTATTATTCGCTATTCTCCTGCAGTTATATGGCACAGACGCCTGTCAGCCTAAGGGTCACACTTCCCGGGAAGCAAAATTTTATTGGCGGATCTGGATTTGTCCAAGTACTTCAGACCCAAGCGCGTTCAGATGCTCAAAACGTTGAACAAAGGCCACAGAACATGAAGACGATAACAACTATCCGTCCATTTGTCCCAGCAGTCTCTGGTATGACCATAAACACTAATACTGCTGTACAATATGTAAGAAATACTGCAGAAATACCAGTCTTCAGTGCTCCTGGCGCTTTTGTTGCGGCTCCAATGAATCGAATATTCACCCCTTTTGTTAATCCAGTCATGAATTTAAGTCCTGGTTTGATTACTTCTCTTCCTGGTAGTCCTGTAAGCGGACAGAGGCAATTAGGTGGTGCCCTCTCCAGCCTAGGGAGTTCACGCAAATCTTGTAATTGTACGAAGTCACACTGCCTTAGATTGTACTGTGAGTGCTTTGCACAAGGTCAACTTTGTCAGAACTGTAATTGCCACAACTGCATGAATAACCTAGCTTATGAAGAAGAACGGAGGAGAGCCATTCGGATGACTTTGGAACGAAACCCTACTGCATTTCATCCGAAAATTGGTCGTGGCAAAGGTGAAAGAAAGCATACTAAAGGATGTAACTGCAAGCGTTCAGGGTGTTTGAAAAACTATTGTGAATGTTATGAAGCAAAGATAAGCTGCTCAGACCTGTGTCGCTGTCAAGGTTGTTGCAATACCGAGGATAGCGTAGAAAGGCGCTCCCTTATGCGTTTGTCTGCAATTGGAGTCTTGAAGTCAAGACAGCCTTCTTCCTTCAAAAAACACTTACTAAAACCTGTATCGGAAACGTTGTCGCACGTATTCTTCACTTGGGAAGTGATTGAGGCAACAGCTACTTGTATAATGGCCCAGGCTGAAGAAGTAGATCGTCGTGATGGACCTCCAGCGGCAAATGAGCGAATACTTCTGGAAGAATTTGGACGCCTTATTGATCGTGTGGTGGAAGCGTCTGTCAAAGTTCATATACATCCATCGAGTGGCATCCACACCTCGACTTCGACCGACGATAATGAACAAGGTCTGACACATAGTCGGTGGTCAACTGGTCCTGGAAGTCTAGGTGGTAAGGGTAGTGGAGCAGTTGGAATATCAGCTGCCACGGCTGCTGCCGCAGATGTTCTACAGGATGACGAAAATGAGGAGGATGAAAGGTTAAATGAGATGGATGTAGATGATGCCGACGATATGGAGGATGAAATGTACGACCTTGTCGGAGAACCAACACTTTCACGTCACCAACATTCCCGATCGCACCTTGCACGCCGTCATCGATCTGCACACCTTGTTTCTGACTTTGACGATGACATAATGAGCAATGATGACCCTGTAGATAGGGTTCATGCTGTACTTCCTACTGTTAGACCAGGGATTATTTCACACAGATATCAGGAAACCCATTCACGACGGTTGCAACAAACAAGTGATAACAAATACACGTCACATCATACTCGGCGGAGTTTCAGTAACCGCAATCATCGTCACCACGACCCTGACTCGATATATAATTACCTGGTGTAACTTTGAATTAATGACACTAATTATATAAAGACTCCATTAATATCAAATAACTACAATTTTAATTGTGCTCACCCATCCGTAATTTGTGACCTTGGACTATATTTCTTACTTGTACCTATCTCAACCATCAATTGTAATTTGATGTTATTCATTTATATTTTACAATCAGTAATATCTCTTATTTTCATTTGATGGTAATTTTTACGTACTTCTCATCTATGTTTTATAATCGTCGGTTTTATCCGTTAATTTTATTTGATTGTAATTTGGTTGCACTCATTTACATTTTATAATCATCAGTGCGTCGGTGGCACAGTGGTTAGGACTCTCGCCGACCATGCACATGTTTCGAGGTTCGACCCCCTGCAGACGCACACCTGGTATCTATGGTCGGCCTGCAAAATTTAGGCTACCGATATCCATGCTGAAAATGCCATACTTGTACCAAAAATACGGTGTGGAATCAAGCTGTAATCAAAAATAGAAATAAAACTTGGCGTGGTTAGCATACGAATCGCTTCTGTTAGATGGAAAATAATGCCACTCAACCGGTTTGTACTGATTTACTGTTTAGGCATAGAAAGCGAAACTGCTAACTTCATTGGCCATACGTACTAGTTAGCGTCAGATAAAAAGGTGTTTAAATCTTGTTGATCTGTCTAAGAAAAAGCATAAACTTGTTGCTCGTTGAATGAAGCGTTTGACATATAACGTAGTAAACAGCAGTCGAATGTCCTCAAAGTTATTATGATGTGTGGTGTCAGTATATCAGATATTATATACTATTTGATCGAGTTTCATCAATTCTTAATACCGAAATGATCCAAATATTTCAAGGTAGGGAAAGGTAATGGTATTCGGTATCAGAATTAGCTTGACGCACTTGATTCCTAGTCAGTAAGTCACGAGTTTGAATTATGTATGTGCTGGTTTATATACATGAGGTGTTACCCCACTCGATGCATGAAATGATTAGTGATTATTAGTGCTCTGTTACAACATATGGTTAAAGCGTCTGAATACTCCTCGTCATTTCTACCTACCGAATCGTTTACAGTTGTCTTCACTGAAGTGTCACCTTTCGCTCGAACATATATATATATATTTGTGGGTCCGTGGCTTTCTGGTTCAGGCACTCGACTTTCAACTACTGAACCGTATGTTCAATTTACCGGGGATAGGGCAGCAAGGCAGTATCACCAGCCGTCACACAATAAGTGTAACTGATTGACAAATGCATATAGGTGAAAATAGTTGATGAGTAGCATTTTGTTATCAGTTTTACGGATTTTTTTTATTAGCCAGCGCTTCTTATGACCTATTTATATTTTCTATCACTCCTAACTTTATCTATGTTAGGAAAATAAGTTATCTTTACTAAATGAAGAACTTTAAATTACTCAGTTGTATATCACTTAATACGTATTTACTGGTCTAACTAACTATCCGCACCTTTGTTTAGTTTAGTCCGCAAAAGAACGTGCAAAGTACTTTTGAATTTCAAAGTTTCTTATGAAGTGCTAATGCAATGTCATACAAACAGTTGTTTTATAATTCATCCAGACAATGCAAAATTTCTAGTGTTTGCAGTGATGTGAAGACTGTTGAGAAAACTACTAAACAATGGTTTTTGTACAATGAAAGGTAGTTTAAACTTACACATAAGATACTTTTTAAGGGCGACTGATATTGAACCGGACAAAACATCTATCATCTTATTTCCAGGCCAGGGGGCACAGTTTGTTGGGATGGGCAAGGAACTCGTAAAACTACCTAAGATTAAAGAGATGTTTCAATGTGCTAATGAAATTCTAAGGACAGATATTCTACGCACTTGCTTGGAGGGTCCTGTTTCAAAGTTGTCAAAAACTATCCATTGTCAACCGGCAACTTACATAATTTCCCTAGCAGCCATAGCAAAACTGCGGGAAGAAAACGATGAGGTTCCTCTTTAATTAAATTCATATTATGTAATTGAAGTTAGTTAGGAATTGTGTAGCTACAGCTGGGTTTAGTGTTGGTGAAATCACAGCACTGGTGTTTTCCGGTGCCCTTACATATGAAGAAGGTAGGTTAAAGTTTTTATTTATTCATCTATGGAATTAGGTTTGCATATCATTCGTGTCCGAGCAGAGGCTATGCAGAAAGCATGTGATCAAAAATCTGGAGCAATGCTTACGGTGTTTGTGAATCCAGGATCTCCATTCAAACTCGCAATAGCAGCAGCTATTAACCATTGCGAAATTCATCATAAAATCCTAAACCCGTGTTGCAAAGTTGCTAACTATCTTTATCCAGACTGTAAAGTCCTTGCCGGTAATAGCGAGGTACGACTTTTGCAGTTTTTCGAATGTCCGATTTTATGTAGTATTCGCCTGTAATTTTCATTTATTTACGGCACTTATGGTGGTATTTATGACTCTAATAACAGCTAGTGCCTGAAAGTGGAAGCTATGAAAAGATTGTATGTCTTCGATCGTAGGTTCCTGCGTTCTATCTGCCGTGTTTGAAGTGGTATAACAAGGTGAGCAATATTGAGCTTAGGCTACGGTCAAGTGCTAGGTAAGGAAGGGAAATCGATAGACGAGGCTGTGAAGTCACATCGACTAAGATGGTTAGGGTATGTATTACGTATGTCTAGCCGTCACCTTCTTCGACTGGCAATGTTAGCTGACATAGGATGGATCAGGTTGGAAAAGAGCTAGTGGTGGTCAAACGAAAACATGGCTCCATCGATCAATGAAATCCACAACAGTTAGTTTAAGCTAGCCACGTAAGAAGGAGTGGACTTCCTGATTGAGGTCCTCGGGATGGTAAAAACCAACGCCTGGAGACAATTGGTGATAGGGCTCAAAATCGAACTAAATGGCACAGATACATCCAATAAAATTCTATCGATCTTCCATATTATTATGCTTCTTGCCTCATATTTCTGTTTATTATCTCTCTTTTGTTGCTTTGTGCTACATGGAGTGTGGTAACTCGAACTGCCCGATAACACTGGTCAAAACGAAGACAAGTGTTTCTTCAGTAAAAATATGTTTCATGGATATTACTTGATATGAGGAGACCGCGAGACACCGTACGAGTATAAACGAGCTTAATTTACAAAACAACTATACGAGGCTACGCACAGAGTGGTAAGATTTTAGAAAGCCGTAAATACTACCAGAAGTCTAGCAAATTGATAACAATGTAGTAACAGCTGAATCTGGTGGAAAAAATTAAGTTGTAATGACTGAGTAAATGACGTGATCAGTGTGCATGTTGATAAACTATATTAAAGGTAGGGGAACTGTGTATAGTGATCAACAGTTGTACTCCGGTTTATATACTTAGTGAATTAACATGTAATCTAATACCAGGACTAAAAGCGATAATATAAAGAGAATATGTGGGGTTACTTGGTTTCATTGGTCAGGTTTTTCTACTAGAATTACACTTAAAGCCTGTGTGATTACTAGACCACAACTTTATACCCTCTTGGGATTTGTTTGAAGTTTAAACTAGTTAACCTTTCCAATTAAGATGAATTCTTTGATGTAAGAATAAAACTTGTGCACTGTGGTAGAGTGTAATTCCATTATGGGTAAATTTTGTTTTGATAAAGTCTCACAGTGTTATACAGTAATGTTTAGTGATGACGTTTCGAGTACAATTTATTGCTCATAATCATATCAAAGTACTCACACGACTTCCCAAATTCATTTATATAGTTCCATTATTTTTCACTTGATTTGATTGGTAGTAGTATTATTTTCCATATTTCGCGTATGGATGATGAATCATTCCTACTGCATGTGTTGGGTTTAGACTCAGTGAACAAGGATGCAGTAATCAACCTCTCTCTCCACCTACCTAGATTACTTTTTAGAATTTTAACCCTCTCCCACCCTATTGTGTGGTTGTGTTAATGCATGCATTGCAATTTTGAGCTTTCTTATAAATTACTAATCTTCTCTGGGTCAACCATTCTTATCTTAGCTAAATTCTTATGTTCCGACCTGACTACGCCTGACCTACTAGTTTGACCTATGTAGTTCAACTCACAGTCATTGCAGGATATTTTGTAAATTATATTATTTTATCTAATTGGGTCAACTGGGTCCTTTAACCTACAGAGCTTGTCCCTGAGTGAGTTTGTAGGTTTAAATGCCACCCTAGTTCCTGCTTTATTTAGAATCCTACGTAGGGTTTCAGATGTCCCCTCTTTATATGGTATAACTGTAGATGACTTACAACATTCTCCCAAATTTATGTTATTATTACTAGTTTCACAATTATTTTTATTTTGGCCTTTTTCAATCTTACTAATGAATTTTATAGGATAGTTATTTAACACCAACGCCTCTTCTATCTGTTTCTGGAAAGCACACTTCATCTACAAGGTAGAAGTCATTATTGAAGTTTGTTTTGATTTTCTGTTTAAAGTCATTTTATTTAACCTTACTTTTAGGCTATAGAATACATTGAAGAACATGCTGCTCAATTCGGAATACGTCGTACAAAACGGTTAGAAGTCAGTGGGGCTTTCCATACACCTTTAATGTTCTCTGTCTATAAAACTATGGCTAATTCACTTAACAGAATGGAGGATTTCCGTGAACCTAAAATACCTGTTGTTAGTGTTGTAGACGCTTTGCCTTATAGAAACGCAATGAATATTAAGCAAAAACTTGCTATGCAGGTGAGTCCCTATTTGAGGTAATAAACATCTACATCATATGTCTGCCACCCACTGTTTACCTTTATTTGTAATTTTACATCGAATAAAACTTACAATTTAATCCTACAAAGCCACAACACCTTATTCAGGTAGTTTATTTAGTTCGAGATATCGGTGATCAAAATAAGTGGTTGAAGAGCTGAAAGAGAAGAGAAAGGAACCCCGTCACAGTACTATAGAATTACTAATTCCTCACTTCATGTTGAGAGCTGACAATTATACTCATGTTTCTTGATATTATTTTCTGTTGATGCCTTTTTATCCTATCACGAGCCTTAAGAAAACTAATGTGTACGTATTAATCGAATAATTAATGAGCTTGTTGTCTGTATGTTAGTGATTTATAAAATAAGTGTGAATCGGTTAGTTTCTGAACACGACAGTACTTTCGGCCTTTAATATTTTTGTTCCCTCATAACAAAAAGGTCAGCTCGATGTAAAAGGGTTTATCAACGACAAATGACTCAAATTTAGCAGTCTTCTACTCTCATTCATTCCTTCAGTCCACCCCATCATTTTATGATTGTACGTTCCTACACATTATGGAAAATATATCACTAACAGTGTGGTCTAGGACAAGGGTTTTGTCACGTAAACCCAGAAGTATGAGAAAAAGGTTGGACTGGCAGCCAGGAAATGTTAGACTTCAGTCTAGAAATCCTTTGTCTTTTCAACTTGCTTCTATTCTGTGTATTGTTGCCCTTCAGGATAAATGCCAACTTGAAATGCATAACACTACATGCATTTTGGTGTTTTGGGTTCACAACTTCAACTAACTTCCATTTATTCTTCCCAACATTGACTCACAGAAATCTAGTTTATCTATACCTGTTGTTGGTGATATTTTTCAAGTCACATCCGATTTCTACTGTGTGTAAAGTAATCATTAGAAGGAAGAGACTTTTTGGTGGATCGTTATGGAATTACAAGAATACTGTCCACACGCTGTACTACTTAGTGCACTTTACTACTTATTGTCGCTAAGCATCGCACACCTATACTATATGGTTACATTCAGATGTTTGAAGTTTTTTGGGCAGTGTCAACGAGTAATGTCGTGAACTTAATGTAAAACGGTCTATAATAAGTGCTAAGTTAAACTGGATCAAATTTTAATTTTGGATAAGACTTTCCCATACTTTTGAAAAAAAAAGAAATTAATGTGTGTACTTTTATCTATCGTCATAGATGGATACCGTTTCTAATATTTGTGCTTCACTATGCATAACGCATACATGTATATTCAAGAAAAGCCATGATAATTTCACTGCTATCTTTTGCAGGTCACTCATCCCGTACTATGGGAGCAAACGTTGTATGCATTATACAATCGTCCACCAGATGTTTCTTTTCCGCGTACCATTGAACCTGGTCCTGGTAGACAACTTGGTGCTATGCTAAGGATGACTAACCGTGGGGCGTTTTCAAATTACATTTCTGTAGATGTATAGTTAAACTATGTTTTGTAAATTCTAACTCCGTATCATATTTCCCTGCAGACTCACATATACTCATAATTCATAATAGCAAGGTTAATGAAACAAAACAGAGATTCTGCGGAAACTTTTGTTTATTTCTTTTATTGAGAATAAATTGTATTGCAGTAGCATATTACACAAATATATAATCATAACAATACTAAGTTATCAATATAATTCGTTTTCATTCACCTTTATAAGTTACAATATTTTTCTCAGTTTCCCACACTTTAACTTTGTAAAGCAATTTGTTAGGTATAGCATCCGCTAACTGTGACCAGATGAAAACAGCTAAGTTCTCTGTAGTTGATACAATATTATTTCTCTTAAAATATTCAACATCTTCATCGATATTTTTATGATCCAACAAATCGAGAACATTTTTTTTAAGAATCAACTTTAAGTCAGCAATATTTATAACCATACCTGTTCTTTGGTCAATAGGTCCTCGAATGGTAACTTCCAATTTGTAATTGTGACCATGTCCCATTGGATTGTTACATTTTTGAAAAATTTCGACATTTTCTTCATTATTAAGATGAACAGAATGAAGGCGATGGCAAGCTGAGAATGATTCCACTCTGGTGAGGTAACATTGCGCATTCATCTAGTGAGTCTTTAAGGCCAAGATTCTGTACAAAAATTGAAGTTTTCGAATTAAAGATGTAATGTTAAATGTTGTCATTTATAAACTAACGTCATATATATGGCATGAGTAAAGGCAGTTGATTGATGAAGAATCAGTTACCTGGTATCAGACTTTGAGTCATACGGTATGAGGACAAGTGATACTACCTAGACTAAAATAGATGGAACGATATTCGAATCTACGACTCATGGACTGGAAGTTAGTTATTCAAGTTAATAAGTCACATCACAAAAAATAGACAGTAACGTGTCGTATACTGCAGTATACGTTTAATTTTAGCAACATTTAAATGGGTCTAATTTGACGCTATACTTTAGTTATATGTTGATTATCAGCAACTACCGATTCTTGATTAAAATATCCGATAGGGTGGACGAACACACTGAGATTACTGAAGATGTTTGGAAGCTCAAAAATGACAAGAAGTGAATACATCCCCTATTACTATAAATTATTTGAAGTCATCTCGCCAGTGGTACGTAGAGAGTTGAGGAAATCATACATGCATACTACTAAACCAACAATGGAAGAATTCATGGATTGATGCCATATTTTCTTCCGCCCATCTTCCATTCTTTTTCAACCTAATCCTATTTTAGCCGCTACTGGTCACCAAGGAAGGCGGTGGCACGGCATGCATTACGCATTCTTGACATCTCAATAGATGGAGCTTCATAACTCCATCAATTGACTTCTCACCTGCTTATGTATCCGTAATTGCGCTTGATAACTATATTACTCTGCTTAACATGAATAACTGAAACGAAGGTACTCCTTCAGCAATCCCTTCATCATCTTTCGATCAGCGAAATCATATTTTATTTTTAGGTCAAGTATCCGATGCTGTGTTGCAGAACTTGGCAAAAGCTAAATGTTTAACTAATGCATCTGCATCTGACCTTGGAGCCTATCCAGTTTCCCAGAGTTTATCTGTCCTATTTAGTATACACAAAACAATGGAAACTAGTTTATATTAATCACTTTGATTACTCTAACACAGGAAGCTGTCTCCTTTCTTATAAATTTGGATAATCAGCAAATTACACCAGCATACTAACTAGTACCATAGTCTATCTTGTCAAAAGTTGATCAGATTTACCAGTCCACCTGCTTCGTTTCAGATGATTAGCAAATCGTCTACGTATCCGTAATGAGTCGATAACGGCCAGCGGAACCGCACCCCGGAAACTATTTCATGTGGCTACCAACAATGTTATAAAAACCTTGATCACTTCGGTACAGTACCATGCTAAGTAAGCTCATTTGATAGAGCACATTAAGACAGTTATATTAATTGAATAAATGTCCAAACAGTGGAAGTTAATTTTTTCCTAAAGTAACTGAAATTGGAAAGAATTAGTATTGCATGACCACAGAACTCAGAGGATAACCGTTGAAAACTGGTCACACAATGTCTATTTGGGGGTGATGTTTCGAGTTTCGTAGATATAAATGGTCTTATAACCGTAAGGTAAATCGTGATGTATTATTTTTTAGGGTTAAAACTCTTCTACCCTTTCTTCCTCAGAACTAAAAGACAGTATAGTTGGCTTGTTAGTTTTGCGAGGGAAACAATGATGATTTAATAGCCCTACCTCCCAGAACTACGACTTCACTCTGACTCGCACCACTGAGCAAGCAACTTGTCCAATGATAACACATACTACCGATGTAACCCCTAACCAATTCATTTTCCAGGTATGATATAGCAGTCACACCATTAGCAAGGTGAGTTTCAGCTTGCATTCAAGCACGAAACACTAATGATTATGTTCCAAATATATTTTATACGTGTAACTACTGCTTGTGCAACTCTTGCTAAGTTTAATCGAATGAATTTCGCTTTCCAATAGTGCAACATACCCCTTTTATTGACGTCAGGTCGCTTTAATATTTTCGAGGTATTCGAACTCCAAAACCAACAATTAGTATGTACTTTAATGCATAATTTTGGTAGTCAGTTGTCATTTTGAGTCAAACATTTTAACAATTTTAAGATGCCAAATCCATGTTATCATCAACTAATAGAATCTCCCTAATTCCATATTAGTTTGTTTATTAAATGTATCACACAGTGAAACAGTATTGTATACTGTATATCCAGTATACAACACTGTTTCACTGTGTGATACATTTAATAAACAAACTAATATGGAATTACTTACTACCACAGTGCCCAAGTTTTACACATATATTAGGAAGGCCCTGGGTTCGAAACATGATGGGTGCGTACTGCCGATGAACCCCAAACCAGGACGAAACAGCTACCCAGTTCTCCACAGTCTTCAATGGTTCTTTAGCTAATGTTAATCCGTGGTCAAATTTCGATTAGAAATATCAGTGTTTTGCCGAAAATGATGGGACTTAACTCGTCCTTAATCGGTCCGAAATGTCCACTACACAGTATGTAATAATGATGTTTCCGACGATCGCATTGAAGGGAAGAATAAATTCTCAACTTAAAACTTTGCACCAAAATGCATCAGCTCAATTGTCCACACCACAAAGCACACATAAGATCTACGAAAACATCTAGAACGTCGGTGTAGTCATGACTTTCACGGAGAAATATAAATATCTTCATTTATCCCAAATGATACTTTGGAACAAGGTTACGGAAATGCTGGGAGTTCTTAACGGTACCAAAGAATTAATCATAAAACACAAAAGGATTGAGCGAAGAAATATTTGCTTGCCAATTAGATCTTCACCTATGGTTTTACTCTAAAACATATATCACTTTCAGCCCAATATAAAAAACTCACCGATTTAGTAGTGATAGATATGTCAGCAATAATTAGTTAGTATCAACGTAACGAGAGGAGGTAATTAATCAAGAATATTAATGAGGTAATTAAAGGGAAGAAATAATTGTAGGACTTGCACAGGCAGTACCCATAAATTTAGAAGAATAAAGAATCATTAGGAAAAAAAATGATTTTTCAAGCCATTTATTTTAGTAGGGTACCCTTCAGATGTGTAAGATCATGATCTTCCAGAATTACGATTTTTCTATGGCAACTGGTTTGACGTGTTAACTATGAGTCCCATAGGAAACTGCATGGTGAAGTTAAGGTATCATAGCCAAAACCAAGGTCTCTCAAAAGTTGACCTCTAAGAACCATTTAGTTAAAGGGAATGTCACGAAACGTCATTTCTAATCGAATCATGCCTACCTTCTTGGACTTGGAGAAGGTAGATACAGTATTCCACCGATTTTCTAGGTACTTTTTCTGTAAACCTGGTCGCTTTAGTAGCCAGTAGTGGCATATACTCAATATTTTACTAAGGGATAGCTATAATTTGGAGAAGAAAGTACCTAGAAAATCACAACAATGTACGGCTTACCAACTCGAACGGACTTCCACATAACAGTGGTTGCACCTAAACGCGTAGCCGTCAATACATTTGTAGCGCCATTAAGAAGTCAAAAACCAAATCTGGGTGCAGCGAAGTTCATGAACAGTATCCATTATGATTGATGAACGATCTGATTAGTCGGTTCAAGGTCATTTGACTTTGGTGTATATTGTTTCCTCTTGCCCAGAATAATAGCCATAACAATCTTGATTACCACATCGAAATCCTCTGAGCTAATGACAAGAAAATGCACTATCTGCTGAAGCTATTGCTATTCGAAGAGCAAGACGTAAGTTGTTTGTTCAGGAGCAGAGTACTACTAACTTATAGTCAACTTGTTTAGCTCTCACTTGCTCACTTTAGCTCTTTAGAATAGACACTTCAATTAACAGCGCGATTCCACGCTTACAACTTACTGCATAACTTGAATTTCGTTTTCGCTTTTGATATTTCATTCCGAATTATGAGATGACATTCCTATTCAGTAAATGAAAACATGCGAAATTATCTGGTAGAGATAAATGTGTGGCGTTACGTGAAGTCACATAGGCGACCAAATAATATTTCCATCTTAACATCTCACCAAAGCTGTACAATTTAATGTCGAGCGAAAACGCAATGGAAATGCCGACAAAGCTCAATTACTAATATCAGTAGGTAACAAAACATCAAATTACATATCAAGATAAAGAATGGGTAAATTACGAAGCTCCGGGAGGTAGTCCCATGGAATCTAAAAACATGAGGTGATGAATGGCGTTCAGAAATAATTATCATTGAAACAACAGACACTTGGAAAAGGGAATATCAGTAATAACAATAGTAATATTTTTATTCACATAAATTAAGCATCTACAAGACTGACATACAGCTTGAACAGGTATCCTCATACTTGACCAGTACTATCTGAAATGGAACACTGTTTTATGACGTTTAAAATTGGAAAAAAGCTCTAGAAACTTTATGAGAGCAAATTACAAGATATTAGTCTAAATTTTTTATCCATTATACACTTCATGCGGGAATTGCGAAAGGTTGCGTTAATAGAAGGTAAGAATTGGTACACAGGTGCTAGAGTAACATACAGAAAATGCAGAGCTTCCGATAATCATAATTTCATCATTTAATAAAACTTCAAAGTAGAGGGTAAATACGGCTTCATTTTGGTATTAGAAGATACAAGCGGACCAACTTTCCGATGGTAAACAGAATTCAGAATGGAATTATTTTCGTTGTTCATCCAATGTACCGACAATATTCTGAATAACGCTCAAATAATACACACGCAGAACGCAGCATTACTAAACACTTGCAGTGCTGTAATGCAATACATTCGCGAATACTACAGAGAAGAAAACCCACAGAAAAGTGCACAAGCAGCAACCAAATAAAATTAACTTCAGAAAATTATAGGCTATAACCGCAGGATTTAATCCATTTGTATAAAATAAAAATCGATACCAGACACACTTCCCATCTCAAGTCTTTTTACTTTGATTTCGTTCGCCAGTACCAACACGTTAGGTAGAGTACTGCTAAGGTTATAAAGCGGTGAAGTGTTTTAATTGCAAAATTGTAGGATTAGTAGGTGGATATAAAATGCTACATGACATGGTGTGAAATTTGGTAAGATAGAATTCAATATGGCCCAAAAATTTTTTACATTAATAATTTTGACAATCGTAGAACAGACATCAAACTTATGATGTACGATGTAAAATGAAAAAAATTTATAAACCAGACATGTCTGGTTTATAAATTTTTTTCATTTTTGACCTCATCTCAAATTCGCTTACATTCCACAAACGAAAAATATATTATTCATAATATATTTTTCGTATGAATTCATGCGACCAATTCACCTTCCCCTACCCCTGTTGAACTATGTTTTCGTTGTATTCTTATTTACTGTCACACCTCTGGTCAAATAGATCAATCACATCATATGTAATTCGCAGACAAGTCTGTAGCCGTTACACTACGTAATCTGTGTGAAACCTACTCTTTGCTGATTGGTTGGTTTCAATATACTATGTACAGGTGGAGTACTATTTTTCAGTATTAACCGCAGCAGTTAAGCATGCAGTGCTAATTTTCAGCACTAAAGGCATTATTTCAGATGATGATCTTTAAGATTTTGTTGCATTAATTAAGCACCCAGCTCTTTTTTTTAAGCACGACCAGCGTTATTTCAGAACATAGTGGGTAGATGAAATGGCTATTTACCATAAAAAAGCATTATCACAGAATAGGTTAGAATAAGTTTAGAATTGCTGTAAGCTTGGGGTGGAGAGAGATCGGTCATGAGGGTGCACTTTCACCACTCTCACTTGCTCTCTGACCAGTATACTCACTAGCAAAGCATTCTTGAGAGACATTTCTCTCATTTTCTTTGTTTTTGCCACCAGTGCTGGTTGAAGGAATGGGTTGCCCATAGTGTAGACGGCTCGTTGAAGGTCTGCAGGCGTCATTATCAAGATTTCTGTGCCCCACCTGTTCTCTTTTTTTTCTAGTCTTATATTTATCATCATACCACCTGGAATCCGGTGGCAGTCATCACCCAGCGTCTGCTTCTCACGAATTAATTTACAACGAAGAATCCGAGTGTTGGGCTCGTCGTCGAATGATAATTTGAAGGATGTTTTCGTAGGCTTACTACTACTGCATGCAACGTTATGTGTACCCGATGTTGAGATGAAGGCTTTAATTGCTCTTCATCAATTGGCCCTTGACATGGTTTCTTCACATTTATTAGCCGAAATTGGCTGTTATCAGAATGTGCCAGTATAACTGCTTTCAACAAATTTTCTTTTTCCTCTAAATCAAATGGATTTGGTGGTAATGATGATGCTGTTTGATGGAGTAGAAGAGAACTACTACTGCTCCCATCTATTCCTATTGGTAGATTTTCTTTCATACGATTGGGGGAGCCACTTTTATATTCCTTTGTCCATGTTGACATACCGAGTTGGGAGGAGACGTCATCAATATCATAGGGTAGGTTGTCTTTAGCAGCTTTAAGGGATTTATGCACGCTCGTATAATTTAGCGGCGATATCGATACCATAAATTCTATTTCATTTGTAGTGAAATATCCAAGAATGTTGTCTAACTTAGACAGCTCTTCAGAAAAATATTCCTGTATGGAATCAAATAAGTTGCGTTGACGCTCCGGTGTAGTAGATGGGTCCGGTGAACTTTCCTCCTCATCGATTTATTCTTTATCAAGTTCTGTTTCTCTTTGAGCAGTTGTGATATTTTCGGATCTCGAATTTCCAACGTGAAATTTTGCTCCAGCTTGACTGTTTTTCAGGTTGCCTCTTCATAATAGTTGAAATCTTATATTCAGCAGGTTTTACTGGTAAAGAGACACGCCGTTCCTTTTGGCAATAACGATCAAGTTGGTTCCCATGTTTCTCAGATTTCACTGAACAGTTGATTGGTGATAACCAGAGTTTTCTTAATCTATCTCCACGAGTTCGTTTTCTTGAGTATATTTTCACAGTTCCAGGAGGTGTAAATGTCTTTGATATCTACGTGTATATGTGTTCTTCTTCTTCCTTATTTACTTTCCGAAACAAAAGCTTCTGGTAGTGATAACACATAACCACATGATAGAGGGCGGAAGCTAGGGGGATTCCAACAGCTAAAGAGCGCCTGTGGCCAAGAAGCTGTTAGAGCTGTTGGGATGCAAGCGCATTAGGACAACCGAGTATCATCCAGCGGCAAATGGTCTAGTAGAGTCAATGTTTACTGATGACGTTTCGAGCACAATTTATTGCTAATAATCATATCAAGGTACAAACACGACTTCCCAACTTTATTTATATAATTCCATTATTTTTCACTTGATTTGGTTGGTAGTATTATTTTCCATATTTCGGGTATGAGTGATGAATCATTCCTATTGCATGTGTTATCACTACCAGAAGCTTTTGTTTCGGAAAGTAAATAAGGAAGAAGAAGAACACATATACACGTAGATATCAAAGACATTTACACCTCCTGGAACTGTGAAAATATACTCAAGAAAACGAACTCGTGGAGATAGATTAAGAAAACTCTGGTTATCACCAATCAACTGTTCAGTGAAATCTGAGAAACATGGGAACCAACTTGATCGTTATTGCCAAAAGGAACGGCGTGTCTCTTTACCAGTAAAACCTGCTGAATATAAGATTTCAACTATTATGAAGAGGCAACCTGAAAAACAGTCAAGCTGGAGCAAAATTTCACGTTGGAAATTCGAGATCCGAAAATATCACAACTGCTCAAAGAGAAACAGAACTTGATAAAGAATAAATCGATGAGGAGGAAAGTTCACCGGACCCATCTACTACACCGGAGCGTCAACGCAACTTATTTGATTCCATACAGGAATATTTTTCTGAAGAGCTGTCTAAGTTAGACAACATTCTTGGATATTTCACTACAAATGAAATAGAATTTATGGTATCGATATCGCCGCTAAATTATACGAGCGTGCATAAATCCCTTAAAGCTGCTAAAGACAACCTACCCTATGATATTGATGACGTCTCCTCCCAACTCGGTATGTCAACATGGACAAAGGAATATAAAAGTGGCTCCCCCAATCGTATGAAAGAAAATCTACCAATAGGAATAGATGGGAGCAGTAGTAGTTCTCTTCTACTCCATCAAACAGCATCATCATTACCACCAAATCCATTTGATTTAGAGGAAAAAGAAAATTTGTTGAAAGCAGTTATACTGGCACATTCTGATAACAGCCAATTTCGGCTAATAAATGTGAAGAAACCATGTCAAGGGCCAATTGATGAAGAGCAATTAAAGCCTTCATCTCAACATCGGGTACACATAACGTTGCATGCAGTAGTAGTAAGCCTACGAAAACATCCTTCAAATTATCATTCGACGACGAGCCCAACACTCGGATTCTTCGTTGTAAATTAATTCGTGAGAAGCAGACGCTGGGTGATGACTGCCACCGGATTCCAGGTGGTATGATGATAAATATAAGACTAGAAAAAAAAGAGAACAGGTGGGGCACAGAAATCTTGATAATGACGCCTGCAGACCTTCAACGAGCCGTCTACACTATGGGCAACCCATTCCTTCAACCAGCACTGGTGGCAAAAACAAAGAAAATGAGAGAAATGTCTCTCAAGAATGCTTTGCTAGTGAGTATACTGGTCAGAGAGCAAGTGAGAGTGGTGAAAGTGCACCCTCATGACCGATCTCTCTCCACCCCAAGCTTACAGCAATTCTAAACTTATTCTAACCTATTCTGTGATAATGCTTTTTTATGGTAAATAGCCATTTCATCTACCCACTATGTTCTGAAATAACGCTGGTCGTGCTTAAAAAAAGAGCTGGGTGCTTAATTAATGCAACAAAATCTTAAAAATAAGATCATCATCTGAAATAATGCCTTTAGTGCTGAAAATTAGCACTGCATGCTTAACTGCTGCGGTTAATACTGAAAAATAGTACTCCACCTGTACATAGTATATTGAAACCAACCAATCAGCAAAGAGTAGGTTTCACACAGATTACGTAGTGTAACGGCTACAGACTTGTCTGCGAATTACATATGATGTGATTGATCTATTTGACCAGAGGTGTGACAGTAAATAAGAATACAACGAAAACATAATTCAACAGGGGTAGGGGAAGGTGAATTGGTCGCATGAATTCATACGAAAAATATATTATGAATAATATATTTTTCGTTTGTGGAATGTAAGCGAATTTGAGATGAGGTCAAAAATGAAAAAAATTTATAAACCAGACATGTCTGGTTTATAAATTTTTTTCATTTTACATCGTACATCATAAGTTTGATGTCTGTTCTACGATTGTCAAAATTATTAATGTAAAAAATTTTTGGGCCATATTGAATTCTATCTTACCAAATTTCACACCATGTCATGTAGCATTTTATATCCACCTACTAATCCTACAATTTTGCACCCCTTTCCAACATCTATACACCTCAGGTATTATTCTATATCTGACACTGATTGTCTTGCTACTTTACATTTAACTATGATTAGAATTACAGATATTTTATTTGCATTTCATACCATTATTATTATATAATAATAATGGTGTGAATACATAACATATGTTATGTAAATTGTTTCGATTGCTGAATACTGTCTACGAGTTCATATATTTAAACCTTGGGAATCCAAATGAAACAAGGGGTGACAGATTGTGTTGATTCACATATGAAAACATATACTTGCTGTAAGGAAAATGTTAACAATTGTGATTACAATTTAATTGGTGGACTGTGATTACAGTTCACAAGTCATCCCTTTTCATATTTAACAGACTGATGTTTGCCTAGAAGTATATAAGCAGTACTCCTCACATACAAAGACCATTCTTACAGGATTTATAAATCATGCAGGTGAGTTAGATTTTGGGTGCATATTTGTCCATTTCTATTATAAGGAAAACAACTCAGATAATGTGTTAAATACGGGTATTCAACATTCTGCAACAAGTCGTAAGAGAAGAATATCTTCTGGCAGACTGCATGAATGCTTTGGATACAGCTACTCAACATTTTATCGCCGTCAAAAACGGTTACGTGATGCAGCATTCAGTGACTGGGACTTCTGGAAACGTTACTGCTCATCCAGAGAAGAGGTGGCAAGGGATAATACAGTAACTTTGCCTTCAAGTTCAACTGTACAGGGAACAGTGGGTTTACCTAGTACTAGTGAGACCGTCGCTGTTGTTTCACAAACTGAAGAGAATCGTAACATTTATTATTATGTAATAATTAATTTCAATAGAACTTCAGGTTGTTCCTGAAAAGATGACACAAAAAGAGCTGGTCAGAAAATCAATTATGGAATTGTTCCTTCAGAACAATGTAACAGGGAAGCTTGCGCAAAATATCTTGGACTGTATGCGTAAATTTAATCCACATGTGCCAACAACCATAAGAGGCCTGCTAAAAGATAGCGGCATGTGTGTACCTAGATTTCTTGGACAAGGTGTTTACTATCACATTGGACTGAAGGAAAATCTGCAGCGTTATCTAGATAGTTGGGTTGACTACGGTACTTTTCAACATATTGGCTTGCAAATCAACTATGACGGTTTATCTATATCGAACAGTTCTTCGCAGCAGTTATGACCATTCCTAGGTCGTATCACAACTCCATACGTCAGTGACGTTTTCTTAATTGGCATACATGGCGGTTTGAGAAAACCGAGTAACTTCAATGAGGTTTCTATGGACCTACTAGTTGAATTGAAAGATCTTTAAAAACAATGATCAAGACACCAAGAAGGTAGACATGGACGATGATACGTTGCCAATGCCTAGTAATAGACCCAAAAGGTAGGTACCGTTACCTGTGTAACACATTTTTCAGGGATGCCAAGAAAACTGAGAAGAATTTCCTTTACAACTCTATGGATATTGATGTAGCCGCCAGTGAGGTTGGTTGCATAAAACCACAATATCCAGAGTATAATATATTGGATGACTTCGTGGCCCCAAATCCAAGGTTTTAACCTATTTGAAAGCCCTTCATTTTCAGTACTTCCAGTGCTCCCATATTTCATTCATCTCCTATTGGCAAAAAGTCCTATGTGTGTGACCGGTAGGAAAAAATTGTTACAATTTTTATTTATGCTTTAGATTGCCGTCTAACGAAGATGCTACTGAATCCACAAATAAGAAATTACTCGGTAATTACTTAAAAATAATTATTTATTTAAAGATACAAATATGGAAATCATTAACCTGTGCACGAAAATATTGAACATTATGACTACTGACAGAAAATCTCGACAGCAAACCTACCCTCCAGCAAACGGTGACTTAACACTGGAGTTTCCGCTCGAGAATGAAGACCAGTTAGAGATGCTGGAAGCATCTTTAAGAGACGAAAAGTACAAACAGCAATATGTGAGTTGACATATTTAATTCTTATTTCTTGTAGACTGCTAAGATGGCTAGCTGCCTTCAGAGTGATCCAAAGTTATCACTTAAGGTCATGATGCACCATGTTATAAAACCTGAAGTGGGTTTGAAGTTTACATTCCAGGGGACTTTGACAAAGTCAAGCATTGTGCCTTATGCCTTTTATAAAATAATGAGATGTAAGTTTCATTAATGAAGTAATTAGTTCTCTAGCTTTAATTATGTCGCACTTCTCCGGCCAACTAATGACGACGAGAGAGATTGGTTACATGATGGATAGGGCCACGAAATCGTACTTTCATAATTTGAAAGATCGTGTCCAAAGGCGTAAGCGGAAGCAAGGAATTCAGGTAATATTGCGAAACGCCTGCTTACTTCTATAAGTGAACGTTTATTCAACATGTAGTAATCACAACATTGTTTTAATTTTTAGGCAAATGAAAAAGATACCGGGGGATATAACAGTGGCACTTATGTAAGTAAACTTTCATAAATGTAAATGCTCAGAATGTGCTCAGCACAATTTTTCACCCACTAATATTTTATTTTGCTTATTTGCAGGATGCTACCAGTGGATCGCAATTGACGGGATTGCAGTGACATTGTACTACAGTTTATAAATACAAAAGTCTCTTAATTGTAAAAACTGATTTCTTTCTGAATTGCGCGGGCGTAGGACACAGGTGATGATAATAAGTAGAAGTCTTTTCGTTCTAAGGTAAAGCGAGTAAGTGCTGAATACGGTCTGCGAAGGCTTGAATTAGGCTGAAAAAATTTCCACTATGTGCTGAATTAAGTCTTTTCGTTCTAAAGTAATGCGAGTCAGTGCTTAATACGATCTGCGAAGGCTTGAATTAGGCTGAAAAAATTTCCACTATGTGCTGAATTAAGTCTTTTCGTTCTAAAGTAATGCTAGTCAGTGCTGAAAATGATCTGAAAGGGCTGAAATAAAGCTGATAAGCAAACCCAGTAGGTTCTGATCTACTTCTGACAATGCTAAAAAAGGAATACGGTGCTGAATTAGCGCTAGTCATGCTGAAAACTAGCACTGAGTTCTAGTCTGTGCCATTAAACAAATCATTTCAGAACAAATTCAGAATTTACTCACTATAGGATGCTAGAATTATTTCAGAATTACTGAGATTTAATTCAGAATTACAGTAAGATAGGGACCTCAGCATCCTGTTTGGGATACCTCAGAGGACCTGATTACGTCATCATTTAACTCTTCTAAACGCTTTTGTACGACCACTTTATAACAACAAATGCGGCAATAAATCGCACATTTGGTTTAAAACACTTCACCGCTTTATAACCTTAGCAGTACTCTACCTAACGTGTTGGTACTGGCGAACGAAATCAAAGTAAAAAGACTTGAGATGGGAAGTGTGTCTGGTATCGATTTTTATTTCATGCAAATGAAATACCCAATTTAATAAATGAAGGTTTTGTACAACTTATCTGGTGCTCTCACTGGTCGTAGGTTCGAAAAGTGCGCTTTATGATAACTCAAAGAGAGAGCGGACGAAGTTTTGCAGCAATGAAGATGTGCCATACGTGAAGGAGTGAGATGAAACAAATGTACATAGATTCAATATACACTACAGGAGAACCAAGTAACTATTGATCAACTGTATAACAAATATTCAGGGAGAAATGTAGGAGGATTGTTCTTGTTGAGAGAAAACCACAAGGTGAGCGACATCACTCGCCAGGCCATTGCTCGAGTAGAACTGGAAGGTGAATTGACGAGTCTGTCCTCAGTGAGTCAGTGGGGTTGCGTGAAGGAGGTCATGTAAAGAATAGCCGTAAACGTGTGGGCAGACTTCGAGCCAGGTGAATATGCCGACAGAGAACGAGACGCAATGGAGCTGTTTGGACGAAGCCCTATGTTCCTCTAGTAACTGAAGGAAACGACAAATATAATGAGTTTCCTTAGAAACAAAAGGAATATTTTCAAATATGTGTTATTAGGATTGTAAACTTTAGATAGCCATTACATAATATTAGATAGTTGGAGGCAGTCGGCCACAGGAATCGTTGAACCTAGGTTTCGTGCTAGTCGGCATTCACCAGTCAGCAAGGCGTACCTGCAACCTCAAAGGAACTCATGTCCCCCAAGAGTCCTGGACCCCCGTCACGCAATGCTGCAGTCAGAGACGTTGCCACCGATCCATTGTGGCTGGCTAGCGGTTGACCTCCTGTAGGACTGAAGTGGGTATTCTGATTGGACACTAGGGAGTGGAGGAAGAAGATAATACAATTAAAAACAAAATAAAAATAAATCGCATATCTGGAGTTAACGCAGATCAGGTCCATTGCAGATTTAATGACTGAACAAACTTCTCGTGTATGAAAAGTTAGGAATTTAAGTCTTGAATTGCTACTGCTTTTACAGTTTGAAGAAGTCAGATCCGTACTGTTTCAGTAAGATCCCTGTGTATCATGTAGATTACTTTGAAATCGGTTTGTGGATGAGCTTGATGTCCAGATTCGATCAAATTTTGCACGGTAGAGCTGCGGGGGATCTTTTTCCTCTTTCTAGCTTGAGAGTGGTATCGCCGATAAGAGTAACTCTTCCTGAAGGTCATTTCATTATTTATTTGCTACGAACAATTTTGTAATTATTTTCCTAATCCACTTTCCTGTCTTTCATTATTTTAAAAGTTGCATATCTTCTTTCAACTTTATCCTTATTGTTTTTCTCTGCCTAAGATTGATTCCGATTCCTCATGAATTATTTCGTTATAGTGTGTACTACTGGACTGGCGACAACATTATGTTGCTTTCTTATTACGCTTTTTGTTGAAGGGTATTCATGTTTGTGATATGGAGCGAACTGTTTTTTGGAAACATTTCTTTCCCTCTTCGATTCTTGTTTGTTTCCACTCTCTTGGGAATATCTTTCTGGATTCCCAGGCATTTCACAGCTGTGTTCAACGATTCGGCTATGAAGTGTGTATTTTGTGCCTGAAAGACTTTTGGACTATATAGTTGTCTAACTTCATCCCTGGGGTTTATTTATTTTTATTTATCCTTTTTCAATAGTATCGCAGGTTCTGAGAGGTCAAACTGTGTTCTGATATTGCTGGAATATAATTTTTGACAGTTTGTGACTCATGGAATTTCGATAAGCCACACAAAAGATCACGTCGATTGATTTCCTGCCTTCAGGCAAAAATACTTGAGTTGATGTAAGAATAAAACTTGTGCACTGTGGTAGAGTGTAATTCCATTATGGGTAAATTTTGTTTTGATAAAGTCTCACAGTGTTATACAGTAATGTTTAGTGATGACGTTTCGAGTACAATTTATTGCTCATAATCATATCAAAGTACTCACACGACTTCCCAAATTCATTTATATAGTTCCATTATTTTTCACTTGATTTGATTGGTAGTAGTATTATTTTCCATATTTCGCGTATGGATGATGAATCATTCCTACTGCATGTGTTGGGTTTAGACTCAGTGAACAAGGATGCAGTAATCAACCTCTCTCTCCACCTACCTAGATTACTTTTTAGAATTTTAACCCTCTCCCACCCTATTGTGTGGTTGTGTTAATGCATGCATTGCAATTTCTGAGCTTTCTTATAAATTACTAATCTTCTCTGGGTCAACCATTCTTACCTTAGCTAAATTCTTATGTTCCGACCTTCTGACTACGCCTGACCTACTATTATGACCTGTGTAGTTGTCCTCACAGTAGGGTTTTGGTTTTTTACAGATATTCCCGTATTTACAGGTTTTTGAATCAGTAACTTTAAATAAATATCATATCGCTTCAGTCAGTAGAACTTTTGTGTAATGGTTGAAGACATCTTCTAAAGCTGCAGTCATTTATGTTTATCTCATTTTTGAATTCGCAAATTTGAAGGATAATTTTAGTCAGCGCTCCATTATTATCTTCCTAACAAGTTCCAAAATTTATTCCATCTATCGACGTACTGAATGGTAGGTTGATCTCGAAATATACAAACCTTATTTGCGAATCTTGGGTAAACCATGAAGATATGATCCCAAAAATGTGCTCGCTCTGAATTTCGAGTTCCAACATAATGCTGAAATATATCAAGAGAAGAAGATAGTCGACATGGTGTCTATACTTGATCCGCTGCTTACCGAATCTTTCATGGTATATCCCGAGTGGAGTAATCTACCCCAGCTACAAAACCACTTCAAAGTCTGCGAGCGATGTTTAAAACTCTATTTTCAATGCACTGACCATAAATCGCTTTGGACTTGTACACTAATTTGGTATGCAGTCTGCCTACATTAGCATTGGATTTTTCATTCTTTCTAAACTACCAGCTTGAAAAAATTATTCAAAATAATTCTGAATCCCTTCCTCTTATGAACAATATTCTCGTCTCTCAGTGTCTGCTGTTTCAATGATAATTATTTCTGAACGCCATTCATCGCCTCATGTTTTTAGATTCCATGGGACTACCTCCCGGAGCTTCGTAATTTACCCATTCTTTATCTTGATATGTAATTTGATGTTTTGTTACCTACTGATATTAGTAATTGAGCTTTGTCGGCATTTCCATTGCGTTTTCGCTCGACATTAAATTGTACAGCTTTGGTGAGATGTTAAGATGGAAATATTATTTGGTCGCCTATGTGACTTCACGTAACGCCACACATTTATCTCTACCAGATAATTTCGCATGTTTTCATTTACTGAATAGGAATGTCATCTCATAATTCGGAATGAAATATCAAAAGCGAAAACGAAATTCAAGTTATGCAGTAAGTTGTAAGCGTGGAATCGCGCTGTTAATTGAAGTGTCTATTCTAAAGAGCTAAAGTGAGCAAGTGAGAGCTAAACAAGTTGACTATAAGTTAGTAGTACTCTGCTCCTGAACAAACAACTTACGTCTTGCTCTTCGAATAGCAATAGCTTCAGCAGATAGTGCATTTTCTTGTCATTAGCTCAGAGGATTTCGATGTGGTAATCAAGATTGTTATGGCTATTATTCTGGGCAAGAGGAAACAATATACACCAAAGTCAAATGACCTTGAACCGACTAATCAGATCGTTCATCAATCATAATGGATACTGTTCATGAACTTCGCTGCACCCAGATTTGGTTTTTGACTTCTGTGCGGAAAATGGGTTAGTTATTATTATTATTGTTCCCTTGTGTTCCTAGTGGAACATTGGTCTTCAACTGCATGTCTCCACTTGCTTCTGTCTTCCTTCTGCTGTACTTTTCACCTGCATCCATGTTAGTCCATACTCCTTCAACTCCTCTTCACACCATCTCCTCCATATCACCCTTGCACCGACGTCCCACCCGCCGCCCCGTTTTCGGCTTGGTTCCACTCGAGCAATGGCCTGACGTGCGATGTCACCAACCGGCCTCCTCATCCAGTATCCAATACATCTCGACTTTCTCCTGCGTATTTGTTGGGCGATTGGTTCTTGTTTTGTTTATTCCCAGCAATAGTTTCTTGTTGGTGATTCTTTCTGCCCCGGCCATCTGATCTCCAGTATAGAGCGAGGACAGTTGTTGATAAAGGTCTGCAACAGGCTGTTGGAAATATTGTTTGTGACACGCCCACCTAGTTTCTGATCCGTATAGAAGAACTGAGTTACTTGACGTCTCTATTGAAAATTCGACTGGATTTTGGTTGTTGATGCTGAGTGACGAAGATTTCCAGATTGGTTTCAGGTTGATGAATGCGTTTTTCGCCTTTCCGATTCTCTCTCGATTTGACATCCTCGTCCGTACTGACTTCCTGTAGTTGAGACAATGCTCCCT